CAAATCACATTAATGGATTGTAAGCAATCATTTGTTAGAATAAATGCATAGGATGAGACAACATCAGTGATTTGTACAAAGAATGGTCGATCGAGTTTAAATGCCAAAATTGATGGTTTGCACAATGAAAGTAAGGGTTCGTTTGATTGCAAATATGTAATTTGGGTGGAGAAAAAAACAAATTTCAAGGAATTGAATTGCCTAGAAATAAACAAATTTCAAGGAATTGAATTGCCTAGAAATTGTTTTACTGGAAATTATGAATTATTGTATTTGATTGATATAATTTTTCACGTGTAAAATGTTAAAATAAAAGTATTTTTCGGTGTTCGTTTTGTTTTGTTTTACGTGAAAATTGTCAATTAAAGAGATAAAATTTACTGGTATTGGAGACAAAATTTATTTCCATTGAAAAAAAAAGCAAAGAAAATCATATATTTTTTGGTGTTTGTTTGACTTTATTTTACATGAAAATTGTCAATTAAAGGAAAATATTTTTTACAATTAGGGATAGAATTTGTTTCCGATACAAAAAAAAAAAAAAAAAGGTACCCTTGAAAACCAATTCCCACCATCAAGCAAAACCAAGAAAATTCCAACTTCAAAAAAAAATCAAATTCCATGGAAAAAATATGCTATCAAACAGTCAAAAAGTGGAAGTGTAAATTTGAATTCCATTTTCCATGGAAAATATAGTGCTATCAAACATGGCCTAAATGATTTTCACATTTTGTGTCAATTAACATTCTCTTATTCTTCACTTTTTAGCTCATTCTTCTAAAGGGCATTTATTCAACTCTTAATTCAAAAAATATAAAAGATTTTTATTTTAAACCAATCAAATGCGGAAAACAATTTCTACTCTTCGTTTCCATTCCCCATTACCAAACGTATCATAAGGAAAGCTCTGTCGCCCCCGGGGCATAGTTCAGTAGTGCAAAGAGTAGGAGTGAGATTAATTTACGCTTTGCTGACAATCGTAATATGGGGGGTTCGATTCTTGAGACATGAAATTGGACTCATTGTAGGCACAATGTACAAGTAGCTTTTATTCTCTAACCTGTTGAGGTACATCCCGCGATTTACCTCTCTCACAAAACTCTAGAATGGGGACGATAGGGGCGCTCAAGGTTGAGGTTCAACTAGAGATGTCAATGGGCTGAGCCGAGCCGGCTCGATCCATGAAAGCACGAGCTCGGCTTGTCCAAAAATGGGCGAGCTCGCAAGCAGACATCGTTTTTCTTTTTTTTTTTTGGAAACAAATAAGTAAATTGGAAAATAAAAAAGTAATTTTAATTTTTAAATCGTAAATTATATATAAAAAATTTAAACCCTCCTCTTTTATCCAGATTTGGGACCGGTTACTTAAATTTAGAGTAGACGGAGTTAAAAATTGTGTTGTTTGTTTGTTTGTTCGTGTACAATTTTTTAAAGAAAATTTAAAACAGTATTAAAAATTATTTTTTCAAGCAACGCTGCACGTTCCCTTACATATAATTTTCGAAGTAAATTCCTTCTAAAAAATGAAAGGGTAATCGAATGCCCTTTCAATTGTTAGAAGTTTTCACTTCGAAAATTATATAGAAGTCTTTCACTTCGAAAATTATATATAATCTTTGAAATAAAAGACTTCTGACAATTAAAAGGGCAATAATTCGATTACCCTTTCAATTTTCAGAAGAAATTTAATTCAAAAATTATATGCAAAGATATGCACATCGTTGTTCGAGAAAAGAATTTAAAATGTAGGTATATAGTAGTAATAGTACCAAGTACTAACAAAAATTTAACTAAATTGATGGAAATAATTTATTTATTTTAACTAAAAGAGATAGAAAAAAATAAAAATGAAATCTTTATTATTTTTATTTCTCTTTTTAAAATGGATAAAATATAAATTCTTCTCCTTTATCCGGATTTTGGATCGGCTACTTAAATTTTCAATATGGGGAGTTTAAAATTGTACACGAACAATTTTTTGTAGCGTATATAATTTTTTAAAGAAAATTAAAAGTAACGATAAGAAAAAAAAGTTTCATCAATATAATTAAATCAAATATCACTTATTTGACGACATGCAATTTCGTCATATTTATCTTGTAGTCGAAAATGAGCGTCCTGCCAATTCTTAACGCACATTAACGCTTTTAATATATCTTCTTTCAATCGGCTCCTGAACTCGCTCAAAACTCTTTTACCTGCACTAAAAGTAGATTCTGAAGCAACAGTGTTAACTGGAGTTGTCAGCAGATCTTTTGCAATCGCAGATATAATTGGCCAATGTCGTTATGCCTTCGCCAGAATTCAATTACTTCGTCTGAACTTTTTTTAATTGTTTTATCTGTTGGCATATTTTGGTTGAAATAATCAATTAATTCAGCAGTGGTTTGAGCCCGTAGATGTTTGATGTGAATGAGATACAGATGGTGACGACATGACAGTGGTAGTAGATGAACACATTGCATATGAATCATATCTATACGAATTAATGTCTTGAAATAAATTAAATATTTTCGCATATTGTTCTTCAATTTCAGCAGAAGGAGTAGATGCAGATGGTACCCGACTAATATTGGTACCCATTCGGTTCGCATATAATTCATACATTTCACATAATGTTTGCTCCAAATTTCTGTATGTGATAGGTGTATCAAATGTTAAGGCGTTTGAAATTTGATCAATTATATATTTAGTTCTTGATAAATTATATCGGGGGTCCATCACGCATGCTAAAGGAAATAACATAGGCAAATCTTCCCAATATTTTCTAAATTTTAATTCCATAACAATTATAATTTCACTAAAATCAGGGTCATTTTTGTATTTATGAAATGTTCTTACAATTATATAAAGACCTTCAAGCACCATACAGCTGGTGGGAAAGTAAACGCCCGATAAAATCTTAGTGGTTTCATAAAATGATGTCAAAAATCCTTTAACTTTCAAAGTTATTTGCCAATCATGTTCAGTCAACATACCCTCGTCATCACTTCTAACATGTCTATTGTCATAAAAGTCAATTATTAAATGTTCAAAACCCTCACATGACTTTAATAACAAGTAAGTAGAACTCCACCTATGACTTACGTCGTTAATAAATGTTTTAGCATTTTGCACTCCTATTTCGGCACAGTAATCCTCAAATGCTTGTTTTCTATTTGGAGAGATTGTGATATATATTAGTGCGTTCCTAATATTTTGAAGTTTAATCCTTTATATGTTTTAAACCATTTTGGACAATTAAATTGAAAATATAATATACACAACGGATATGAAACAAATATTCACTAAAATCAGGTTGACCCTATGCAATTTATCGACAACTACTTTATTAACACTAGCATTATCGAAAGTAAATGAACGAATTTTACCTTCGCAATGATATTATCTAATAATACTAATAATAGCATTAAATATATTATTAGCGTTGTGAGGAAACTCAATAATTCTAAAAGCAATAATTTTTTTATGAATGCACCAAAGTGGGTCTATATAATGTACAGTTGCAACTATATATGCTCTTTTATTAATCCCTTTCCATATATCCGAAGTTAAAGATATGACACCCCCATATTTTTGCAAATCCATAATTAATTGTTGTTTTGTTTCAATAAAATATTGTATTGTATCGGAACGAAGAGTGTTTCGACTTACCCCAACGTACCTTGACTGCAGATATTCTTTCACATACGAGACGTAGTGTTGGTTATCAATTAATGCCAAAGGCAACTCAGCACCAGCAACAAGCTTTACCACTCCGGTTCGAGCTCTCTCCTCCGAATACACCCATGTGGATAGGGGTGCACCAGAACCACCGGCGTCTGGACTATCAAATTGAAATTATATTTGACATCCTGGAATAAGTCCGTATTTGGCCGCACATCTTTGTAATGACGATTGAGATGAGTGGTACCAATTCCTCTTTGCCATGCCAATTTTTGTTGACAATATTTACATACTGCTTTGGATTCGGGACTCCATTGACGATTTTTCCCGTTGAAATCAACTTAAAGTGATCCCAACATTTTACTTGTTTTTTCCCCTTTTGCTTTTCCCTCGCATCAGGAATGTTTAATTCAGCATCTTCTTCCTGATCGTGTTCAGCTTCGGGAACATCAACATCATCCAAATTAATTGGATAATTTGGACTGCCGCTCACATGAAGATGAAGATCCAATTTTGGAATATCTTCAGGTAGGGGTACGTTATTTAGACATTCAAATTGATTCCGAAATTGATTTTGCAGTGTCATAGGCGATTCGTTTCCTCCCACGCCGAACAAGTTTTTCACAAATGTGCGTGGATCCATTTGTTTAATTGTAATAAGTAATAACTAGTAAAAGAATAATTGTATAAATGTAGTGAGATATGAAAATTGGATGAAATTTCAATAAATATAGCGAGAACTGAGAAATGAGAATTGTATATAAAAATTGCACAACTATCAACACAACACAAGAGAGTTGAGAGAAAGATAATTGAGAGTGGAGAGTGAATTGTAGAAAATTTTGTGGTTAAATGCCACTATTTATAGAAGATGGAAGAAAAAAATAAAAATAAAAATTAAAGGATCGAAACGGTCACTGAAAAAATTCAGTAACCGTTAACGGTCACAAATTTTAAAAATAAATAAATAAAAAATAAATTCAGGGACCGAAACGATCACTGAAAAAGTGACCGCAACGAGCCACGAGTTGGGCTCGTGGGCCCGCTCGGCTCGCCCACCGAACCTGCCCTCTCGGCTCGCGCTCGGGCTAGTGTTTTTACGAGCCTAAGCTGCCCACGAGCTTCGTTTTCGCGAGCCGACGAGCTGTTCGACCCATTTGCTACTCGTAGGTTCAACCTTTTTTTTTTTTTTTTTATAATTAAGGAAAGCTTTGTCAGCTTAGCAAAAATGGGAAGATATTTTATAAAGTGGGGCCCGCTCATGTCTGTTACATCAACAACATTAGGGTGTAATATTAATAAAAAAGAAAAATACACTTCACATGACGTGTGGGAATGGTAATGGATGAACAAATTCAGCCCTTTTGACTCCTCAGTTTCAGTAGCAAAGGATACTTCAATTTCGTACTAACAGTTTAGGATTTTTTTTTTCGATTTTTTTTTTTTTTTTTTTTTTGTTTTTTTTTTTTTTTTTTTTTTTTTTTTTTTTTTTGGCTGATTGTTATGGTGATCAGAGCAGGTGAACATGTGGCTTGTGATTACTGCGGGGATAACCCGGCAATAATCTACTGCCGCGCTGATTCGGCCAAGCTGTGCTTGTCATGTGATCAGCACGTGCACTCAGCCAACGCCCTTTCCAAGAAGCATCTCCGCTCGCAGATCTGTGATAATTGCGGGTTGGAACCCGTTTCTGTAAGGTGCGCCACCGACAACTTGGTGTTGTGCCAGGAATGTGATTGGGATGCCCATGGTAGCTGCAACGTGTCTTCCTCACACGACCGGGTTCCGGTCGAGGGATTTTCGGGTTGCCCGTCGGCGCTCGAGCTGGCGTCGGCTTGGGGATTGGAAATTGAGGATAAGAAACCGTTGGGTTTGAGCTCGGGTTCGGACCCGGGTTGGTGGGGTGGGTTGTTGGAATCGTGGATGACTAAGGAAGGTTTGTCCAGCTCGGTGATGTTGCAGGATCTGATTGTGCCGAATGGTTCAGCAATTTACTCGAATTGTGGTGGGGAGATGATGAAGGGGAGCCCTAACTGTGGGAAGCAGAAGCAGGTGATTCTGAAGCAATTATTGCAGCTGTATAATCAGGAATTCGCTGATGGCGGTGCCGATGGTGGTGGTGGTGGTGGTGGTGGGGAGGAGGAGGAGGAGGTTGGACCGGGGACTCCGAGGTATCAGGGTACTGAGATTGTGCAATACCAGGAACAACCACAAGAGAGGCAGCAGCAAAATGGGGGTTTTACTTCATTGCTAATGATGCAAAAGCCACTTAATCCGAAAGAGGAAGGGAATATGTTATGGAATACAAGCACATCTGGTCACGGCACACAGGTTGTTCTTCTTTTTTCCCAGAAAAATATTGTCATTTAGGTTTTAATTTGACGATTGCATTATAATTATGAATATTCCCTGTATATTATCTTGTATTTTTAATGATTTCTTGCATATTTTAAATCACAAGTTGGATTAATGCTTGATAGTTTGAGAAGATGGAATTTTCTATGGATTGAATGATTGGATAAAATTCATATTGTTTACGTTTTTGGAGGTCTATACATCTTTAATTAGAGACTGGTCATGAAAGGTGTACTATTATAATGTTAATGATCTTTCTTTTGAAGGCATTTTGGACAAGCACAGTGCTTTTTGGAGGATATTCTTAAGCATATTTTGTCACCAAATGCTAATCAGATATGTGAGGGGACCAAGGAACTGTAGTTTTTCTTGCCAGTTAAAGTTTGCTCTTTCTTTCTTCTTTCTTCCGGCCCGATCAAATAAGTGTTTAACATATTAGTTGCCATTTTGGGTCTGTTCCATTACTTTTCATACTCTTTTTGCTTGAGCTTAGTTTACTCAGTTCTACGTTAGCTTTAGAAAATTTAAGCTCTGTTTTTATCTCATGACTTTGGATTTGCATTTTGTACACGTTTTATCTCATAGCACAATAAATTCTCATCGTTGTTTCAAATTCTCATCGTTGTTTTACTGAAACTACTATTTCTCCTTTCTTTTCTTACCTTCATATATGTGTTTAACCATTGTTTGTTTGATCATATCAAGAATGCCTTTGGGTAAACATTCACTGGACATTATTGTTGTGGTTGGTTTTGCAGATATGGGATTTTAATTTGGGACAATTGAGGGGCCTTGAGGAATCTAGTGCATCAGAATTGGAATATGGTGCGATGCAAAATTCTGGAGAACTACAAAAATGTGCATCCTTGGCAGCTAGAAGAGGAGTAGCCCTCTCTGGAGTAAACTTTCCAATTGCACATGAGAATCCCATACCCTTTAACGTAAGTGGTCTTCAGTGGCCATCTCTGATTTTCTATTTTTCACTTCATTGGATTCATTAGTGATTATATTGTTCAACTATATAACGTTCAAGTTCATATCCTCCATTCCAATATATTAAGAAAATCTTTGGCTCTGTCCAGTTTGGAGAGACACTGACAACTGCCAATGCCTTTATGCAGCCCTTATATTACGTCACAGTTACGTTGCTTACCATCTTCATTTACTTACTTTGAATTGTCATTCAAACCTGCTATCATTGAGAAGACAAAACCACACAATTTTTTGTCTACATTTCAGAAACTAGTAAAACAAAATTAGACGGATAAAATAAATGTATTATGTTCTATAAAACTTTTGGATCATAATAAATTCAATAGAAAAGTGGAATAATTTTTTGAAGGAATGAGGATGAGCTTATAATAAAACCTTTCAATCTCTTGATTCAAGCCTTCACTTTGGAAAGAACAACTCTACTCAACTATGGTCAAACCAAATCTTTAGCCATGTTCAGACAATTCCACTCAATTATCCTCGAGTCTACTCAAGAAAAGACTACCCCTAACTTCTATATAGACATAATGGTAAGGGGTAACAAAAGAGTAAAATGGAAAAATCTCCAGGAAAGATGTTACAGAAGTAAAGACTGGTTGATTCTTGAAAGTTTGAATCTTTAAGAGAGACTGAACATTATGTTAAATTAGTGTAGGAGAGTTGACTCTTTGCTTTGTAAAAGCTTGATTCAAGAGGATTGAGTGATGTTGTTTATTCTTTTGGTGAAGGATTGATTTTAGAGGATGATTAATAGAGGTACAAGTGGGACCTAGTATGTGCAGATTTTTAGTAGTCGTGTAATTTATTTGTCAAACGAGCTGCGCTACTTGACCTGAGTACAGGTGTCCCTTGTGGGTCTTTGTCCATAGCTTAAAGTCTTGTCCTCGTGATACCTTAAAATTTATGGTATGTGGCCAATATCAAAATATAAACAATTTTTACTTTAATTCTCGTGATAAATGATGTCTACCATCATCTAATCCTTACAAATGCACAATTCGCATAAATCAGAAATAGGCACGAAAGAAGTTAAGCGGCAACAATATGATTTCAATCTCCTGATCAATCCAAAGAATCACATGCTTTAACATACCCTTTTTTCGGGTTTTTTGGTCAAACATCGGTTGTCAATGTCTTTAAATTAATATAAACAAAAGAAATATAGTGAAGGGCTGACATGCTGACAATCAAATTTTCTTATGTGTTTTGGATTCATGTCCAATAATATCACGTGGAGCTATAATATGACAAACTTTGTTGAACTATAGAGTACCTCAAATAATCCAACAGCAAGCCAGGGACCTGCAACATCTGAGAGCAATAATTTACCGGTGTCAAGGCCAAAATCATGTTCAGGTCTTTCTAAGCCCAGTTCGGGTGGCTCAAAAGACATTAATTTTGTGGATCATACGGGGTTGGTGAAAAATGAAAGCACCACAGCTGCAATAACCAAGGCTGATAAGGAGCTTCTGGCAAGGAACAGAAGCAATGCTATGCAACGGTACAAGGAAAAGAAGAAAACCCGGAGGTACCTATTTACTCTTATTTTCATTTCAGCGTACTTCATGACTACCTTTTTTCCCCTAACGGATTTTCAGTGTGCTGTATCTGATAATGATGATGTTTTATAACCAGATATGATAAGCATATACGGTATGAATCAAGGAAGGAAAGAGCTGATACAAGGAAAAGATTTAAAGGTCGATTTGTGAAGGCTAGTGAAGCTCCAGTTGGATAGGCGACTTAATATCAATAATTCTGTAATCACATATTTCTTGCTTTGCTTGTATGTATAACTTCATATTGCCAAATGGTCTTGTTCAAACAAGATGTGTGATTTTCCCAAGTGCTCTCTGTGAGGTTGTGCGCAAATAGTTGCAATGATCATATGACTCCATGTTATGTGACGATCTTATCATGTTAATGGGTAGGAAGATGGTTTTCTGTTTCAGAATTATGTTAGCCCTGAGTGATTTCTTGAAATGACTGCACTGCTGGCATATCCAAATCTGATCCAAACAACAAATTTGACAATGTTTTTGAAATTGAGCCTCTCTCACTACCCATCCTTTTTCTTTTGGCATTATCATGATTTATGCTCTGCTACTGTGCTACATTTTGATCACTACCTAACCAGGACTCTTTCTGTGTTTGACGGTTTTTGTTGAAACACAAATTACTCATCGTAACGGTTAATTAAGTTGTTAGAGTGGAGACGATTTTATTAGTTTATATTGTCTTCTCAACATAGGTTACATCATGGCTGCTTGGCATTCGACAAGGAGTCCTCTATCTTGGATCTCGATGCATTGGTGAATCCTTGAGGAGCGAGTGGCAAAATTCAAATTCAGATCCAAATATTATAGTAATTAATCAAGTGGAGCCTACCGTGTGACCAGTGTAACTAGTAAAAACTAAAATATTCATCCTGTACAAGTTACAAACGCAGTGTTTACAGCACTGCCAACTTAATGTTAGTGTTGAATTTACGGCTGAGTTTGGTGATTATGAACCCCAATTTGTAGATTCGTTTTCCCTGTCAAGTTTTAAATTTGGAGTTAAAACTTAGCACTCAACAAAGAAAAATAAACGTTCAAGCCTTTCAATTATGGACCACGCTATTCATACTCAGGTGTGTAAACGCTCAGTTATCCAGTCCCACCTCCCTCCTCACATGGGGATCAGGTCCCGCGTGTGGGCCCCGACGTGGGACCGGCCCCCATGTGAGGGGGGCAATGGGGCCGTGTAACTGGGCATGTAAACACCCGGGTATAAACGGCATTACTCTTTAATTATTTAGAATTTTTCAGGAAAGTTGGAGTTAAAAGAACTTGTGAAGATTCCTTTATTTAATTTAATTATGCATTAAATAACATAATGCAAAATTTTATGATTTCCTATGCAAAACAAAGCATTATTTGAGGGAACAAAAAATTTATGTACATACATAGGTCTTACAGGGTAAATTCCATCCGAACTGGGACAACAGAAGACTAAATATGTACAAAATCATATTTACAGATTTTGTGCCCGTACTAGGTGAAATTGCAGTTGTCCTCTGCTTGATATTAATGTACAATGTAAATTAATTCCAAATACGCACTAAAGTATGCCGCCAGTGCACCCCCTGCATTCCAAGTGTAATCCGCTAGAGTTAAACTACATATTCAAGGAATACTCAAGACATGACAAAAAAAGCAACTTCAGAATCATATTGAAAAAGGGAAGAACCAGACATGAAGTAAACAAGGGAAATTTGCAAATCATTCTCGAGATTTTGAAAAACTAAACATATTACCTTGCAGTTCAAGAATACTCAGGCCACCTTTCCAAGAAACCAACCCTGTAGAATTCTTAGTCGTCCAATTTTTGTTGACTTAATATTTTCATGTAAAATCTATATCTTTGAATAAAGCATCCTGCGAACAATTCCAGAACTTGGCTAAGTTGATGAAAGGGAAATATCTAGGGTTTACAAAAGCACAAGTGGTGGGTTGCATATTCTGTAATCAAGATGAGTTAATTTATAGGTATCTCAAATCACAAGGCACAATATGCATTTTTCCTACACATAAACCCCCATAAAGCAAGCAATGCAGTTTAAAGCCATTTTGCCTGTAGAAATACCTCTCGTTCACCTAATCATATCAAATAACAAGATTGGCAGAGGTGCATTGGATGACAAGTTCCTCAATTACCTCCCATTTGACCGGCATATACGTCATCTATGATGTAGGGGGTGATGCTGGTTGTACATCAGGCAATGAAATGGGTGTTATAGGAGGTGAAGTAATTCCTTCAGTCATCTTCAAATTTTGAGAAGCTTCTAAAGGTAAATGTAGAACCGATTCTTCTCGACTTCCAGAGGGAATAGAATAACTGCGGGAAATAGTCTGAGATGGCATTGGAAGTGTAGATTTTGCTATGCTTGTAGTAGGTAGCTCACAACCTTCGGATACCAAAGGCCCTGAATGAGCAATGCGATTGGAAAGCCTTTTAGAAGCTAGATGAGCTGGGGGCAGAGGCAGCTCGTGAAGTTCACTTATTATAGGCGACGACATGAAAGTAGGTAAAACACGTGATGATAATTTGGGCATTGACGTTGGCTGAGGCAATGGAGCACGCAATATAGACCCAGAAAATGGCAGAGGGTACTCTGATGAAATGATGTGACCACTGGCAGATAAATTTGGGTTCTTCGGCCACGGTTTGCCTGTTATTGGACCAGAGAAAGCTTGTCTTTTGACTTTTCTAGTATCGAATGCAACATTTGGGTCAAACTGTTTTGATGAGAAGCCATCCAATAATGGAGGGGGCAACCGACTGCTTTTTGTATTATTGTTGCTCTCTGTGAGCACCTGTTGTGCGTCTAAGAGGACAGAGTCCGAGGATTTCTCATTTGCTACTACTTTTTCATATTTCTTCTGATCAAGAGGAGATGAATACCACAAGTTATTGTTCACTTGTTTATGTTGTGGATCTTCAAAATCTGCTTTCCCAGAACCAAGACTCTTTGCCTCAACTGGTGTGGGTAGCACATACGATGTAAACCTGCGTGATGGTGATGGCAGCATCTGTCTCGGCATGCCAGCTGGATCAAGTTTCTTCTCACGAAATATCGGTGCTGATTGGCTGGTCAACTTAGTCTCTCTGTGGAAGCCAAAAGAATTTCGACCAGTTCTTTCCAAATTTTCCTGCAAGAATGGGCAACAAGGGCATATCTTGAGTGGCTCAATAGTCTCATAAAGGCACCAGAGATCACATAGCCAGCAACTGAACAGTCCAATAGGAAAACTAGAGGGGAAAAAATGCAGCTATACGCAGCAACTGCAAATCACAGCTAAACAGCAAGTGAACCCATTCTTTGTAAATACACACAGAGCTACATCTGTGTGCATGTCTATAGCATGCCAAGATCACGAGTCACTAGACACCAACTGGACACTAGGTATTAAAATCTGGTTACAGAAGTCAAACTATTCTTTCTCAATCATAACCTGAACTAAAAACCAAGTTGAAAGGGGGTAAAAAAAAAAAAAAAAAAAAAAAAAAAAAAAAAAAGGGAAAAATTGGAAAGATAA